GGACCAGTCGGAAAAAGGTGCGCCGGAAAAAAAAAAAACGGCTGCGTCCCTCGACGCCTTGCGCGCGCTGGCGATGCAACTGTAGGACCGGGACCGGGATCCACTGTGGGCAGTTAGAAATTGGCGTTCAAAAAAAAACAGAACACTGTGCATTTAACACTAGTTGCTTCCGGATGATGATGGGCCATCGTGTTTCTGATGGCGTGCGACGAATCTGCCATCGTAACCGTCATCACCATCGAGAACAGCGATTGCTCCTCGCCGAAGTCCGAGGCCGCCGTTCGCGGCTGGGCGAATCGCCTGCATGCAAATTGAGTCGGTTCATGCGGAGCCGCAGTGGATCGCAGTGGCGTGATGCCTCACTCCTCAAACCGCTCCCTGGTTTCATTGATTCCGATACTGATGAAGGGCAGCTACAACAGCAACGAAGCACCGTGGTTCTTGCAATGGGCAGCGGGAAGAACGGGCTGTCCTGGCGCGGGTGGAACTGACGCACAACCTTTGTGGACACCGATGCATACAACATGGAAGCTTGCTTAATGAATCATGTCTGGCATGGAGAAAGCCTGGCAATCGGCGGCGTTCGCACCGTCTTGAACTATTCGCATGTGTTGTTCGGCCCACACATGTACAGAAGCTCTAGGTTTGTCAGCTGAGGCGGAAGTTTGTGCTCTTGACGGAGATGGCCGATCGGCACTGGATTGGGCAGCGACGTCCCTACAATTCCCCGCTGTGTATGCTGTGAAGTGTGTTCTGCACCATGCATTTGGCGGCCATCATTTTGGCACAAGGAGTCGCGCGGGCGTGGACACGTTGTCCAAGCTTTGCAGCGCCATGAGCGTTTGCACCGCTTGCTGGATGAGCAGCGTGCTGCGTCACAAGCTGATATGTTACGCGGCGGCATGAAATTTTCAGGAACAAAGACCCATTCACAATGAAAGCAAAATAACCTTGCTTCATGCTTGCAAGCCTCAGGAGCACGAAGTTGTTCACAGCAGAAGCGCGACTCGCACAGCTGGGAACAGAGTTGGCAGCCACTTCCAGGAATTCAGGCAGGACTAAGAGGAGCCATAGCACAGTATCACCAACCCACGCATCTTCTCGTTATATGATGGTGCAGATATGGAAGTTCCTGCGTTGCCTGACAGGATCGCGGCAGCCAGCAGAGCAGCTTGCACCCCTCCCGGACACAGGCCTCACCATCCGTGCCCGCGTGCAAAGAATTGCGTTGAAATTCTTGTCGAAAGCTGGCGGCGGTACTCATATTGGCAGCCAATGCCACACGCGCACCCTTTTGCCTACGATCGTAGCAGTCATGCCCATCATTTGCGATTCTGGGGTTTTGCCCGATGTGGTCATCACGGACTGCTCGACATCGTGGTCGGAGCTGTGACGCCCGACGCCCCGTGTCGTTCTTGTGCATCAGGTGCAGATACCCTTTCGCATGCGTTGACGAAGTGCTCAGCGCAAAACCTAGCTCTCAAAAACCCGAGCCGTAGTGCCGCAATCGACAACCGTTCCAGTCATGTACCTGTTCACACTCTCAAGTGCTTTGTTCTTTGCATGCTTGTTGTTGTTTGCCTGGGTGTTCGATGTATATGGCAATGTGATTATTGGCATGCATCACGCTTTTATGGAATTCGCAGGTGTTGAAGAAATGGTGGAAAGTTTACAGCAGCAAAACGCATTGTTGGAACAACGAGAGCTAGAACGTGTGGACCTTGAACAACGCCCGGCCCTCGTAAAGAATCCTGACGTGTTCGTTTGTCGCTCACATGTGTGGTGTGCTTTTGAGGCTTGAAAATCTGCGAGCAAGAGGAGCACAGTTGTAAGGATGCTTTGGTGCGGGAAAGGGAGCTGCAGCAGCATCATGGAGGTAGTCGTTGACCTACGGAGCATGCCCTGTCTTCATGTCACGTACGAGCTTGTGGGCAGTTGCAGAATAGCAGCATCACAAGCAAGGTCTTCGAGCAGAGCTGGAATACGAAAAGAAGCAGTTCGACATGTGGCGTGAAGAACACGCGTCCGGAAGCTGTTCTGCACTGGTACTGTACGATCGGCTTGTCTTTCCGGGTTGGTCTTTCCGAAGCAAGGATTGACAAGGGCAGAAGAAGAAGTTCAGCAGCGTGAAGCCACGTGGCACCGGGAACGATTGCAGTGCGAAGAGGCCGAACAGCGTCAAGGGCTTATCCAATGTATGTCTTCCACGTGCATGTGCATGTGCATGTTTTTCATTGCAAGCGCCCGAGCGCGTAAAACACCGAAAGGGTTTCCGTTTCTTCCTTCTCTTCTGCTGTTTTTCTCTCTGCTCCCTATCGCAAATTAGGAGGTCCGATCCATGGAGAGAAAGGCAGATGTCAGCTTGAATACAAAGTACTACATAAAAGTAGATAGGGCAAGTCCTTGTGGTGACCACCTCCCCACACACGAGGGCAGAATTTATTGGTACTCAAAACGACACGCTGCCTAGTGATTCGCTCAGGAATGCAGCGGCAAGCAAAAAATACAAAAAGGTGAAACTGCAAGGTGCCAAAGCAGAAAAAAGGCAAAACTAAGGTGAACTAAAATGAGATAAACTGAATTAGAACCAGGTGAAACAAAAAGGTAACGAAAAAAAACTGAAGACTTGGAACCGGCCACATGCCTCGGATCTTCCTGCACTCGCACGCCAGCCCACCAGCAGGGGCAGGCGGGCGGGCTGGCGGGCGGGCTGGCGGGCGGGCTGGCAGGCGAGCATCCCTATCATGTTCTTTTATAAAAGGAGAAAAAACCAGCCAAAAGGGTAAAGGCCACTCGCAGGCCAGGTGATTCGGGAGTTCCCACACGCCTGTCCTTGCTTGGCCTATATTTTTTCGCATCCTTTCAGTTTTTGCAGTTTTTCATTTCATTGTGTTTTTTTCACGTTATCCACTTTTGTCACGTTTTTAAGCTCTTTTCGCCAATCGAAAAGGGAAATGATTGGGAAGCCCCGCCCCGCCAGCCCGCCCGCCTGCTCCGGCTGGTGGGCGGGCGTGGGAGTGCAGGCTCTTCCGAGTCACGTGGGTTCTATCTGGTTCTCAGCTTCTACCTACTCTGCTTACCTTTCCGGTTACCTTTTTCTTTCACCTGGTTCTAGCTTTACTTCACCGTTTTCATTTTTTCACCTTTATTCTACATTTTTTCAAGAGGGTTGTTCGGGGCCACCTCCATCTAATCGTAAATCGCCCTCCCTCTCTCTCGCTCTCTCTTGCCGTCTCTGTCTGTCTCTTTCTCTTTTCACTTATCCGTCGCTCCTCACCAAATGCACCAGTGAACCTAGGCCTGAGAGAGCGTGAGACGATGGAGCAGCAGCGCAACGATGTTGCGCAACGCGCATCGGAAGCATGGATCGACGGACCACTCGCTAGTCTTGTGTTCTGTTGAACCTGTGAGGTGCGATCCAGAAATTGGAGCAGGAAGTGGCTGCGGCAGAGGACAGGGCAGAACTTCTGCAAAAGGAAGTCGTCGCCGCAGAGGAGGAGCGCCAAACCCGCAAACGAGTGTAACAAGGCATTGCTCTCTTCATGTCTTCATCTCCAGGAGGCACGCCAAGCGCAGGTGGCTCGTGACATGCAGCTTGCGCTCCGAAAAACCCATCCCGATATGGTCTGAGAATCTGCGACAGGCACGTGCTGCGGCAGCTTCCCGTGCGTGGGGCCGCTGACAGTCAAAATGTGAGTGGTGCGAAGTCTGATCAAGTGTGACTTCCTGATGTCGACTTTGTGCACTTCTCATCCCTCCTGTCTTCCATCTTCCCTTTCAGCAAACCTCCCTCATGTATGCTTGCTTTTCTTACTCAGCTATTCAGGAATGTAGTCGCAACCCAGCATGTCCCGGCCCCATACATCTAGAAGGGTACCCAAGTGTTCTGCATGATCTGTGGCGGTTGAACCAGGATCCGAGGGCCTAGAGATGTTAGGAGATATCTGAGATGGCGTACTCTGGCACTTGATTGGCTCTTCCGAGCTCCAGGCTCAGCAGTGAGCCGTCGAGCATGACTGGCCCGGCGTAGCGCAATTGCTGGGAGAGCCAGGTCATGACGAGCTCATGGACGTTGGGCACGAAAGGAGGCCACATAAGGTGTGCAGGTGCAAGATTGCTGGATGTGTTACGGGGAGTGCTCAGCCAGGTCTGGATGCTCAATCGCTTGCAGGTTGGGTGCCCTTGTTTGAGTTGTGGCGGGGTTGGGCCTGATTGCACAAGCGGCATGTGTTGAGTGTCGTGTGACAGAGTACCTGGTGCATGTTGGGCTAGACTGGCTCGAAGGGATTTGGGCTTTTTTGTGACTTCACCTGAACAGCAGTCTAGAGCAGGCTTCAACATAGGGTCATAGGGTATCTAATGCAACAAGTGGGTTTGAGCTGTACAAATCGTACAAACCTCACTCCGTCTGCGTTTTTGATGTGCTTACATCCAGTGTATGCAATAGAGTCAGCATTGACTGCATTCTGGCTCGTGTGTAGATTGTCATGAGCACGAAAGATGGGCACAGCCTGGGTGTGCAAGATCCACGTGGCAGCTTTGACGGCTGTACCGGCTTATTTCGAGTTCTTCATTCGGTGCGTCGGTTTTGGCGCAACTTGGTGAAACATGCT